ATCATCCTCGTAGGCAGATTATAGGTAAGCTAAGTAATTTTATGATGGAATACCAAGAAACCTCTGACGGAGATCGGAAATCTCTGTCACACAATACTTGTGGTTCTTCGGTGATCTCTTCTCCGAACCCCGAATCTGAACAAGGATTTGATAATAATATAGAAGCAACGTTATATCGAGGGTTACATGATATTTTTGTTAAATTTGAAATTGTTTATATTCCTATAATCATAAAATATTCCGTTCAAACCAAGTAATTCAAGTTCGTTGTCTCTAGTCAGATTTTCAGTTTCATCAATATCCTAAACATCTTTTTCTTATAACTTTTTTCGATATCCTTTTACCCTTACCCCATTTTTTGCTGCTCAAATATTTTTTTCATTACTTGGTGGTCATAATATACTTCAAAATTGATTTTGAGGGCAAGGACGTATAGAAAAAAAGCAAACACTCTTGTTTGCCGATAACTTGGTGGTCATATACTTTGAAATTGATTTCGAGGACTAGGACGTGTAGAAAAAAAGCAAACACACACTGTTACTCTCGCTGTGTGTTGGAACTTGAAAAAACTCTTTACATTATTATTATTTTCCCTGAACCTTTTTCTAAAAGTATTATTTGCTATCGAACACAGAAATGTAGCTTGTTTATGCTAGAAAGCCATCCATTTCCCTAATCGTTGGCAATTAAATTCAAAGGTTCACACGTTTAGTACGTCTAAACTAAGGCATGAACTTCATAACATCAAAACCGCTCTAATCTCCTCGGGCAAATGTCAGGCCATCCGACGGTAATCATGGCTAAAGAAGACTAATTCTAGTAGATTACCGGCTAGAGATGCTCTAAGCCAATTATACGCGATATAATGGAACTTTACGCACGCTGACTACGTCACGAACAGGCACTTCGTAAATGCGACAGACGATGAGAAAAAGCAAATCAAATAATAAAACGTCTGCATTGAATTTCAAAATAGAGCAGCTCAAATATGAATATTAGTGGTGGATTTCTCATATATATCAAAAACCAATCGATTTTAAACAAAAGCTCCAGTCACTTCCAGATATAGTTTTCCACTTTGTGTTGTCGAATCGAAAGGTCGCTGCTGAATTAAATTTTCCAAAGAGGCTTTACAAGAGAAAAGCATTTTCCGCTCGAGTTGACCATTCTGTTCTGCTTGTCTTAATCATTACACGATAGGAAAGATTCATTGTTTGTTAGACTTATCGCTAGAATTTCAAAATAGTTACTTTCAAAAACAAATTCAAATTGAATCCGCCTGAAAAGGTCACTTCCATTTCCACAAGGAATCAATAATGGAATATTCAAATTGTGGGCCTGTGTATAGATATCGTCCATTATCAATAGAATTATTAAACCTTGGTTTTGGGATGTAAAGCACTTGAACATTTACCTATAAATATGATGGGTTTACATTTTTCAGTTTACCCGCACTCGACTTTTTTCCAGGTAAAAAGAGTTTCAGCGTGGGGTTTGAAGTGGATTTTTTGAAAAATCATTTAATTTTAATTAATAGCTAATATATTTTAGAAGCAATATTTCACAAATAAATTACTCACAGGAAAAAGTTTATTAAGCACCAGCTGGAATGAACTTTACAGAAAGTATTTTTCTTTGGCGTTAATCCCTTTATTTCAAAGAAAGACAAGTTTTTTTTTTAAATTTTTTCAAAGTAATAGTTGTTTATGGAATGCCACTAAGAGTAGGGGTTTTTCCGAGAAGCTGTTTTTTCCGAGGAGCTGTTTTTCCGAGGAGTTGTTTTTCCAAGGAGTTGTTTTTCCGAGGAGCTGTTTTTTCCGAGGAGCCATTTTCCTAAAGGGATCCATTCTCAACAAGCTCACATCTCTGGGCATAGAGCTCTTGAAAAGATTTCCTAGAGGAATCAAGTCCCTCACGTGTCGATACGCGTACCCCCACATTTGACAAAGAAAACTGAACTTCTAACCTTGATTCCAGTCAGAATCTGCAACTAACATTTGCAACACACCTCGTCAAGTGACCAGAAATGGATGGCTACCGACTACCGTACTCTACCTTTTTCTAGGTAAAAAGAGTTTCAGCGTAGGGTTTGAAGAGGATATTTTGAAAAATCATTCAATTTTAATTAATAGTTGATATATATTAGAAGCACTCTTTGAACATATTTGACAAATAAATTGCGCCCAGGAGAAAGTTTATTAAGCACCAGCTGGAATGAACTTTACAGAAAAATTTTTTCTTTGGCGTTAATCCGTATATTTCAAAGAAAGACAAGTTTGTTTTTTTTTAATTTTTTCAAAGTAATGGTTGTTCATGGAATGCCACTAAGAGTAGGGGTTTTTCCGAGAAGCTGTTTTTTCCGAGGAGCTGTTTTTCCGAGGAGTTGTTTTTCCAAGGAGTTGTTTTTCCGAGGAGCTGTTTTTTCCGAGGAGCCATTTTTCTAAAGGGATCCATTCTCAACAAGCCCACATCTCTGGGCATAGAGCTCTTGAAGTGATTTCCTAGAGGAATCAAGTCCCTCACGTGTCGATACGCGTACCCCCACATTTGACGAAGAAAACTCAAGTTCTAACCTTGATTCCAGGCTAGAATTTGCAACTAACATTTGCAACACACCTCTTCAAGTGACCAGCAATGAATGGCTACCGACTACCGTGCTCAACCTTTTTCTAGGTAAAAAGAGTTTCAGGGTGGGGTTTGAAGAGGATATTTTGAAAAAATCATTTAATTTTAATTAATAGTTAATATATATTAGAAGCACTCTTTGAATATATTTCACAAATAAATTGCGCCCAGCAAAAAGTTTATTGAGCACCACCTGGAATGAACTTTACAGAAAGTATTTTTTTTTGGCGTTAATCCCTTTATTTCAACGAAAGACAAGTTTTTTTTTTTTTTTTTTTTTCAAAGTAATGGTTGTTCATGGAATGCCACTGAGAGTAGGGGTTTTTCCGAGAAACTGTTTTTCCGAGGAGCTATTTTTTCCGAGGACCTGTTTTTCCTAGGAGTTTTTTTTCGAGGAGCTGTTTTTTCCGAGGAGTCATTATTCTCGAGGGATTCATTCTCAACAAGCCCAAACCTCTGGGAATAGAGGTCTTGAAGTGATTTCCTAGAGGAATCAAGTCCCTCACGTGTCGATATGCGTACCCCCACATTCGACAAAGAAAACTGAACTTCTAACCTTGACTCCAGGCTAGAATCTGCAACTAACATTTGCAACACACCTCGTCAAGTGACCAGAAATGGATGGCTACCGACTACCGTACTCTACCTTTTTCTAGGTAAAAAGAGTTTCAGCGTGGTGTTTGAAGAGGATATTTTGAAAAATCATTTAATTTTAATTATTCGTTAATATATATTAGAAGCACTCTTTGAATATATTTCACAAATAAATTGCGCCCAGCAAAAAGTTTATTGAGCACCACCTGAAACGAACTTTACAGAAAGTTTTTTTTTTGGCGTTAATCCCTTTATTTCAACGAAAGACAAGTTTTTTTTGTTTTTCAAAGTAATGACTGTTTATAGAATGTCACTAAGAGTAGGGGTTTTTCCGAAGAGCTGTTTTTTCCGAGGAGCTGTTTTTCCGAGGAGTTGTTTTTCCGAGGAGCTATTTTTTCCGATGAGCCATTTTTCTCAAGGGATCCATTCACAACAAGCCCACATCTCTGGGCATAGAGCTCTTGAAGTGATTTCCTAGAGGAATCAAGTCCCTCACGTGTCGATACGCGTACCCACACATTTGACAAAGAAAACTTAACTTCTAACCTTGATTCCAGGCTAGAAGAGGATATTTTGAAAAAATCATTTAATTTTAATTAATAGTTGATATATATTAGAAGCACTCTTTGAACATGTTTCTCAAATAAATTGCGCCCAGGAGAAAGTTTATTGAGCACCAGCTGGAATGAACTTTACAGAAAGTATTTTTCTTTGGCACAAATCTCTTTATTTCAAAGAAAGACAAGTTGAAAAGCAATAAATAAGTTTAATTTTAATACCGAGAAAAGGGGAGTTTGTTAATAATGCTGTCTTCTTCAAGTTTCTCCGTGGTTTTCCGCATTATAAAGTTTGATATTTATTTGAAAATGTCCCCCTCGGAACTTTTTGATAGAACCCAATGAGGATGCAATTAATATGGTTGAATTATTAGTGGACTGTATAGCGAATATTGCGTCACATTACACGAAAAAATTAAGAAATAAAGTGAGGTTATGCAAAAAGGTTGTTTGTCGCTTACCCAATTTGGCTTATGTGGTCTTGTAACTTTGGGGCGCCCCTTGAAGGCTTAAACACATGATCAATTGTTAAACGGCAAAAAATGGACGAAAAACTCAACGGTCGCGAAAATCTTTCGCGAAAGGAACCGCCGAATGGAGTAGGTTCGCACCAGTGAGGCCTACCTGGTACTGACTGTTACTGGTACTGTTCTACTGTTCTACTTTTTTCGCTAGGTATTTCTTCTATGCTTTCAGCGATATATGGAACGCAAAATGTATGCCTCTATTATACATGGTCAAATTTGACCCACAAAAAAGTTAACGCAAAATCATTGAATCAACAGGAATATTTCCCCAAAGAGCCATAAAAATCCATTACTACCCTGTGAATTCTTTATAACTGTCAACGTACGATTTAGACGTCCACAGGGCAGTAAATTGATTACTGTCGAATAAACAGAAACCTTGAAATCCAATATAAATGCGCAATTTTGAAATTGAGCTGCTAAATATACATCTCATCTGACCCAGTTTCAGAACTAAATCCTATTGTTTATACAATCGCACCTTAGGGACCTCGAAGCAATTAAACTTAATTAAGTGCAACTCCAAAAAGGGCATTAATCATTACTTTTAGCTACTAAACGATGCAACAGAATTAACTATCCTGCGCTCCGGGCGCTCTTAACGACATCATAGCGCTGCGCCATTAATTCCTTGGAAATAAAAATTAAATTATTTTTATGATTGATGCGTCAGTTTAAACAAATTATTTCTTTTCAGGACCGTATCTCCGACTATTACCGTTCACTCTGCAGTGCCAAGAGACCATCGATGGCTGCGTACGTGGCGGGAGTTCCGAATCCTCACGCAAACGTCGAAAAACCGTTTCTACTCAGCGATGGAAAAGTGTGTCTGAGTGCTTCCCTGGATAAGGGTATTTATTCTCACGGCGAAGACATACGAGTGTCTGTACAAATCAAGAATAATAGTAGCAAGACTATAAAAAGGATAAAGGTAAGACCAAGGAGGAAAGAAACTTTTTGACTAGATTTAACGGTAGTTCGAGGGCTTTCAGAAGAAAGATAACATAAAATTTGAAATTCAAATCAGGACTTTTTATTGAGGGCAAACATAGCCAATTCGATCTGATGTTGTTGTTGTTGTTGTTTTATAGTTGGACAATCATTTTTATCAATTTTATTAGATGTAGGGAAAAATAGGCTTTTATTTGTCCTTTGGCAAAAAAAAAATCAGTTTTAAGTTGGGATTTAGTGGGAGAGACTTTTTGCATCAGAATTTGTTTGAGTGTTCCTTTCTTGCTGATGTTCTATTTAGCATTATTATATCTTCTTACGTTTGATTTATATCAATGAATACAGGATGGTTTACAAAGATTTTTCGACAAAGTATATCTTCATTTTTCTGCTGTAATTTTTTTCAGGAAAACTGTTTAAAATATAGGGAGGGAGTTTCCTAATTATTTTAATTTGGGAACACGAGCATAAAGAAGACGAAAAAGGTCTAAATCAAATCAATTTTAATGAGAACTTGAAACCTGACATCGATTTAGTAAAAAATTACTTCCCTTTTAAAAACGGTTTCAATAAATCTTTACATCCTTTTTCTTAATAAATGTTTTTTTCTATTTTTTCGACACCGATTATTTATTAAAAGTCGATGGGCAATATTGTAATAAAATCATGTGTTATATATACAGACCAGACCAACCTACTAGACACATAGGAAGTAATAGGATGAATTAGCTTGTACCCGGTTTAGGCGAATCGAGGCGGTCCTGCCGAAGCAGCGTATAGCCAAGCTGCTGGAGATTCACGAATTTTAATAATATTGAGGGATGGTCCACCGTGACGTTCCTGCAGTGAAATGGGTATCAGTCAACTGGACCCATTGAGGGTTATGTGTCTATAGTGGGGTGAGGTAGCTGAAAATTATACCAGAATATTTCACGTCTGGCAACCAAAGCGCCTTTTTGACTCTCGGAGCACTGTCCCTAACATACACAAAGTTTTGTACAAGGTATTCCCATTTTAAAACATTTACAAGATGTGCATCGCTTTCGACAAGCAGAGAAGATTAAGTTTTACACAGTGTTTTGACACTTCTGGACTTGTTATCAACACAGGTTGGTATAATCCTCCTGAAGTTAGTATCCATCTCCAGTTGGTTGGCGAATTGTGTATCGTGAATCGAGGCTGTTGTTCCAGATTCGTGCTTGGAAAGCAGCTCGTTTGATGTGTTGTTTTAAAGCATCTGCTATAGGAGGAATATTTTCGATTGCCCGATTCTTTCTTGTAAATAACACTCGTCTGCATTCATTGATGTTCTGAAGATCTGATGCTTGATCATAAAGTAGAATAACAAAAAGCTGCAACAGATCGTGACATTCATGATATATATCAGAGGTGCCTGTACAGAGCAGCTGCCATACAAAATCAATTTCACGGAATAACATCCAGATCTTCCAAGATGTCTTCTTGCCAATGCCACAAAATGTAGAAACTGTGTCGCAACCAGTAACAGAATGAAAAGCCAACAAATTTCTGCAAATTTCCGGTGAGAGTGTGGCACAAATCTTATGAATTGTAATAAATTTTCTGTATTTCCCACAACCATACTCAATCCATAGTTCATCAATATCTTGTATTTGTGGGAACAGTTATATTGAAATAACCACTACGTCTGAGTCCACAGCTCGAATTAAGACGCGAGTATGTCCACTTTCTACTGCATGCTTGACATGGAGAAGTAAACGGCCATCTGCTTCTTCGTGTGAGGCGGGAGAAATGCTTGAAACATCCATAGTTGTTGACGTGAGGACTTGGTCATCATAAGTACAGACAACATGTTTTCCTGGACACTCGTGTCTCACCATTTTCTCAGCGAGCAACTGGAATAATTGTGTCTTATTTTCGTTAACACATAGGAATTGCGTTTTTTTTTTTTGGAATCCTAGTTGAGTCTGAGACTTTAATACTTATGCCACTTTCTCTACTTTCTTGGGTATCCGCCTTCAAACTGTTACTAACATATCTGTCGAATAGAATATTTATTCGTGAACTAAACTCCAGTTGATTTGTAAAATATGGTTTGAAAACATGTTTATAGTATTCGGAAAATGTGCTAGCATGTGCACATGCATGTGTATTACAGCTGCTCCATCAAATATTTTAGCTGTTACATTCGGTTGGCTGGGATTAAAGCTAAGATCACATTTTGTTTGAATGCAGTCAATAATATCCGACTTGTTGGTTGGTTTGCGGAGTTTTCAATCACCTGAAATAGATGGTGAGTACATTTCATGCGAAAAGAACTCATCAATGTTGCCATTCCGTGCTTCAGATGCGACGTACAATCTGCAGAACAGGTTGGAATCTTTACGCAAGTTAGTAATCTTGGACTATGTTGTAATAGTCTTGAAGATGTGAAGAATGGTCCGAGGAATAATTTCATGAATTGAATATTAAACTTTATCGAGACGGAACGAGACATATTCATCATACTGCTTTAGTCCTAAAGTAAATGCTTCCCTAACACACTTTACAGCTTCGACACTTGGAATCAGTTCTCCCTATTGACACCAAATCGGTTTCTTCAAACGGATTTCCTTGTTCGATTAAGACATTAATAATTTTTTCAACATAGCCCAAAAACCTTTTCTCAAATACATTGTCAACCTCATGATGCTTCGCGCCCACGTTTTTGTCATCTTTTAAATTTGATTTCTCCTCAAATTCCTCGATTAAAGAACTGATTCGAGTGCCTGCTACCATCCACTTGAGCAGAGCATTTTCACTGTCAAGGATTCCAATAGCGCCCCCTACACCCTTTATAAATTTGTTATTGTGTTCATGGAGCTGATCGTCAGATATTCCAGAAAACGGTCTAGCAGTTTTACTGCTCGTAAAGTTGCCACGAAGAAATTCAGCATATATATCTGGATGTTTTTCTGGAATGTCCTGTAGAGTGCGTACGAACACTGGCAACCAACGAGAATAGTGGACTGCGTCCAACGCAAATGTCCACTGATATAACTGAGCCAAAGTATCGACGTAGTTAGATGTACGAATACTCAATACAAGTTGCAGTAGAAGGGACTCCAGTTTGATAACTGTATTCCATCAATGGGTGAAGGCTTTTACGCCCAGAGTCTGACTGATGATGAAATTTATCCGGGCTTGTGGACCTTGGTCTGGGGGTAGTGCTTATCTTTTACCTTTCGTCTGCGGCTGCGGCAGACATCTTCAAAGGCGGTGCGCTAGTGGTCGAAGTGTTCGCTTCGGTGTCTGGCTCACGACTGATGCGGATGGTACCGGTTGCTGTTGCGTTGCATGGGATTGGCTGTTTTTCGCGGTAGGCGGAGCTTGTGAAAAGGATCGCCAAAACATATAAAAACGGCCGTTTTCAGGTCAAGTCAGTCAGTTCTCTCCAGACAGCAACTGAGACGTGACATGTACCCAGCACTTGGGAGCGCGTAATAGGCTGACATCGATTTGTAGTGGGTCCCCTTGCCTTCGGGATCACTTTTAGGTGGCGGGCAGACGAGCCTCGCATTGCGTTGTTGGTACGAGCTACCTCTAATCCCTCGGACGCGAAATAAGGCTTCCGGAAAAGCCCAGTTTGTCGCAAGGAAATCCGCATCAATCTTCGCACTGGAGGTTGGTATCCTGGGGGAGTACTTTGCATTAGCTCACCACAAATCCCCGACAAAGTACTTTTCAGGGCAATTGTCTGGAAGAAAAAGAAAATTCGTTTGATTTCTGGTTCTTAATTGAGCCTCGCGTTTCAAATTCGGCACATTCGTCTAGTGAATCTAAACTCCTCCCCCGCGATTGTCACTTTTATTTTTGGAACTCTTCTTCAAAGGTTTCCGCCCCCCGTGTCCGTTCTCGACGATTTTCGGGAATTTTTATGAAAATTCTCTTCTCTTCTGCAAGCTCTACGTCGAATTGAAACTCTGAAAATCAAATAATAATAATTTTCTTCTTCCGAAGGCTCACCAAGTTGGGACAGAATTTGCTAAAAGACTAGAAAGTCTAAATTATCCAAGCTTGACTTTTTCTTGAGGCTTTTTTAGGAAAAATCTCACTCAATCTTCGCCAAGTTGGGACAGAATTTATTGACAGACCGAAGCGTCTTAACTACCCCCAGCTTGATTTTTTCTTGAAATTTTTTACGGAAAAATCTCAATTTCAAAACAAAGACAAAGCAAGATTTGCCGCCGAGTTAGAACAGAGTTTTATAAGAAGACATAGAAGTCGAAACTACCTCTAGCTCGAATTTATTGGAGGGTTTTTAGGAAAAACCCCATTTCCACTACAATACAGACGAGACTTAGACAAAAACACACGAACCTTCAAAGGTTAGACTGGTTTTCGGACCTGGTGCACCGTTTCTGTTCCCCCGTGTTTTTATTTGTCATTTAACTTTCTCAAAGCCGCTCGACGGTTTCCTCAGAGTGCCATCTGTGCTCAACGTACTGTCGTTGTAAATAAAACGCTTCCAGACACTGTGTTAACACAACTTTGGCCCCTCGGACTTCAAAAAACCGAGTTGGAGCCCTGCTCCCAAATCACAAAAACAAGTCAATTCTCACTTCCTTTTTCTAGAGGCTGCTGGTTCGCAAGTTTTTCCTTAAAGAACCAGCGGGGTGGTTTTGGTGGGACCTCCTCTCAGTACAACTGAGAAGTTGTACAAACATCCGTGGGAAACGAAAAAGGTTGTTGTTTCGCCCTAAAAACAACTGGCATCCCAAACCGACTTCAGACATAGACAAAATGACGGACAGATACAGTCCAGACTTGTACGGCGCCAATCTAGAAGAGTTGGACACGATTCTAAGCCAAGGTTCAATTCTTGCGGCCGTATCAGAATCCGATTTTAACGAGCCTGAAGTTCCGTTTGCCGCAACAAGCGTTAATCCGCCCGACGCAGCGGAGCTTGATTTTCTACGCTCGCTTTTTGCTGAACTTGATGAGTTTAGAAGGCAAAAAGAC